CTGACGACACATGGGACCAGTTTATCAACACGAACATGATGGTGTTGATCGGGAAGGACTAAAACACAGCGACATACCACAAAAACAGAGACGAAGAAGAAGACGAAAATGAAGGAAGACAGGGAGGAAGAGAAGAGTTCAAACAGAATGATGTGTTCAGTGTCTCTGTGTAAATGTGTGTACTCACGATGTTCATGTGCACTTCAGGGTCCAGCTTGTGGTGCAGTTTAACGGAGCGTCGCTGGACGTCAGAGACCCTGACAGCAGATGGTCCGGCATGGACGAGACTGGAGAGGGCCAACACACACACTGCAACACACAACATCATATGTCTGACACACACACACACACACACACACACACACACACACACACACACATGCATTATGATGCTGTAACCTCCCTCTCACTTCAGTCACATGACTGACAGACACAAGTTTGATTTTAAAGGGAACAGTCAGATTTATTATGGAGTTTGACGTGAGGTCAGAGATGTGTGTGTGTGTGTGTGTGTGTGTGTGTGTGTGTGTGTGTGTGATTGAGGAGGGTGAGGTCAGTCAGGGTGTCTCACAGGAACAACAGTCTGTTAACGGACTTTGATCAGCTGATATCAGCTCCATGTTCTCTGTTTGATCAGTGAGGTCAGAGAGACGAGTCACGAGCTGACGAGCAGTGTGTGTTCATCTTTATATCCACACTGCTGATGATTATTAATTGATTATTGACCTCTCACTGTGTGACTGTTAAACCACCGATAGTAAACTCTACTTCCTGTTTCTCCTGAGTTGAAGGAGGAAGTCTGATCCTCTTCACGTGTTTTCTTTCACAACGTCCTGCTGATGAGTTCTGACTCGAGCACCACAGCAGCTGAAACACACGTTACAGATCACGTGACCTCACTCAGGAACAGCTGAATCGGGCCGGCGCAGGCTGCGTTCTGCGGTGCAGAGGTTCAGTGTGCAGCTGTTTGTTAAGTGAGGAGTTGCAGCAGCAGAGACTCTGTGTTTACTGTGTGTCAAGTTCACTGATACTGTGATGATGATGATGATGATGATGATAATGATGAAGTGATGTGGGTCATGTGAGGCTGATAAATGAAAGGAGCTGTTTAGTTTGTGCGGAGACTCTGTGACATCTCTGTCATCATGGTTATCATGGAGCTGTGACGAAGCTTTAATCATCAGAGATCCTTTCACTGATTGTTTTCAGCTCTCGTCAATAATTTCTCACGGCGTCACTCGATGATGTCACTATGTTACAGCCTGTTATAAACCTGATGTTACAGCCTGGTTTCTGTCTCCTCAAAGTTTCTTTTCAGCCTGTTTTTAAAGTTCATCTGTGCCAAAGTTACATCTGATTCCCTGTCTTCTAAAATCTAAATCTTTTATGTCCAGTTTTCTGTTTGTTTGTCTTCAGGTCATCAGACCTGGTGTAACTCTGACGTTCAGACCTGGTGTAACTCTGACCTTCAAACTGGTGTTACTCTGATGTTCAGACCTGGTGTAACTCTGACCTTCAAACTGGTGTTACTCTGATGTTCAGACCTGGTGTAACTCTGACCTTCAAACTGGTGTTACTCTGATGTTCAGACCTGGTGTAACTCTGACCTTCAGACCTGGTTTAAACCTCTGTGCCTACGTTACGTCTGATTCTGTGCCTGTTGTCCTTCTGTCATATGCCTGATGTTCAGTCTGTTTTTAGAAGCCACATTTATTATAAAAGTTTTCTGTCTGTCTTCAGTGTTCAGGCATCATGTGACCCGGCCGCCTCTGTCATTATAAGTTGATATTTGGTTGAATTTAGGTTGTGACATCAGGACATCGCCTGATGCCGATGACGGTTTAACGTAGAAAACAGACGACAGGTGACACTGATTTTGTGTAAACTGTGTTATTGAGTCACCAAAATCAACCAACGTCTTCTAAACATCTCGTGTCGTAAGTTTGACAGAGAATAACGACGTTTAGTCGACAGGTATGAAGAACAAAACCCATCGTCTGCACAACATTAAATTCTAACATTGTTATCACGGTTGCAGTGATATAAAAGTTAACAGTTATCACACTGTGAACATTTGTTATCTATGATTAGGGCTGGGCTACATGACCAAAATCTCACATCCCGATAACGATACCTATCCTGATATAGCACATTTTAATCCAATAAAATAAAAAGTTGTCCCATGAGGGAGTACAAAAACGTTACTAGCACGAGGGGAGGACATTTGTCCTCGTTTGTTAACATTACGATGAGTCGGGCAACCTCATTTTAAACAAGATGAGAGAAAAAGAGAGAGAGAGCGAGCAGCTGTGGTTGAGCAAGCTAGAGAGCGAGTGAAGAGAGGGAACGCTGGTAGCGAGAAAGCTGGTGAATCAAATCAATAAAATGTCCAAATGAGGAAAAAAATTGCCATAAAAAGTGTAATTTGCGTCACAACGTTAATAACGATAGAGCAAATATATGAAACGATAGACATTTTTCTCTTGTCACACGATATATATCGTCATATCACACAGCCCTATCTACGATATTTAAAAAAAAAAGCAACTGGACGTTGAATCTCTCCTTTATTGGAGTTATCTATTCTGAGAGGAGACTTTTTACACAAACTTTCATCAACAAAATGTTTCAGTTAAATTAACACAACATTTGTTTGACCAACAATAATCCTTCTGTTTCCTGTGAGAGTAATTCTGACTGATAATAAGATTAATTCTGTGATACTGTCATGTTTTCCCAGACGGTTAGAACCCTCACCATTAGACATTTAAATTGTGTCAACCAGATTTTCATTCCTAACAAAAGTTAGCATCTGTCCAAGGTTAAGAGTCTTTCTGACGTCATGTTAGTGTGTGGTGTGCGCTGGGTTTAACCCTCAAACTGTCTCCAGCCTGTTTGAACCTCTTCTGTGCCCCCGTTTTTACGCAGCCTCTTTTCTGGCTGTTAAAACTTTTTTCAGGTTACATCAAGTTTCTACCTGATTTTATACCTGTTTGTTTCTCCTGTTATAAACCGGATGTCACCACCTGTTTGCAGTTTGATTTAAACTGTTAGAAGTTTCTGTTTTTAAACTCTGTTTGTGCCAATTTCACAACATTCTCCTCCTGTTTGCAGCCTGTTATAAACCTGGTGTTCAGCCTGTTGTTGGAGCTTCTGTCTCCGACCATCAGCAACATGTTGTGCATATTTAGTATCAGTAATCAATCAGTAATAAATCGGTAATAACGTATGAGTAATCAAAGCAGCGTCACTGAGTCTCAACAATAACCAGGTAATAACTCCTGATCGGTCACTCACCTGTCGGCTGCTCTGTCCGCTGCTCTGGAAACTGCTCTCTGTTCACATGACTATTTATTACAGTGGCCGGAAGAAACCGGCGGTGACGACAGAGGAAGTCCCTCTCTGTGATTGGTCAGAAATAAAAACGCTCTGGTTTTTTCCTGTTTGATCGATCACCAAAGGTTTCTGATCGATTTACCTCGCAATACAGAATCAATAGATAGCGGAAGCATCAACTCCATCAATGACCGGAAACAGGAAAAATAACGAACACAGACCGGAAACAGAACCAAAAAAGCAGAAATCAGCTGATTTGGTTCAAAAACTGAAACCTGATCATTAAAATAAAAAACAGGAAACACGGTGAAATGAATCAGAATGAAAATACTAATCACCAGAAAACAAATAAACAGTAAAACATTTTGTTAATTTAGGATTCAAATCAGGTTCAGCGCCCTTTCAGAATAAAAGCACAGCCTGTTATAGATTTAAATAATCAACTGGAACGAAACAAAATCTGATATTATCTGTAAACACACTGTAGATATAATAATGTGTCTATATGAACACATATTGACCTAATATAATTTTTCACCATTAAAAATATCAGTTTTCAGTTCTGGAAGTTATTTTTGTTACATTTTTAATAATTTTTATGTTCATGTTTCTTATATCTGTTATTTGATCATTAGAAACCATTTTTTTTTAAAGTGTGATGCTCAAACCTGATTATCTTAAATTAGTTTTGATCATGTTTTTTTATTTCACACTGTTTAATGTGTCTCATCCTGTTTTGTGTTTTTATTTGTTTACTCTGTTTTTATCCCGACGATGTTCTGTAGAACTATGTGTAACTGTGTTTTGAAAAGTTCTTCATAAATAAAGGTTTTTATTATTATTATCATTCATAGAAATATTTAATCTCGTAATATGAGACAGGTGAACAATATGAGTCTATGACCCTCCCTCCACCATAAATGAGTTTTTAGATTTTTGAAAGGTCAAAGTTTAAAAAGTCTCAGTTTTTCACTCTTGATGTACAAACTGTTTATTTTTGGACACATTTTAAATGAGACGTAGAATAAAGTGATTCTGGTGAAGCATCACTGTTTTAAGATCAGATTTGTCTTTTTAAATTTTACTTTTGTTTATTCTGATGGAAGCGTTCCTCACACATGATGTGTCAAGACTGTTGGAAATGTGAAAATCCAACAATAATTTCTGTTTTTACAGGTTCTGGCTGATAAATGGGGTCATTTTTGTGTTTTTGTTTTTTTAAAAAAAAGGATTTCTTTAAAAATCACAAAAAAGAGAGAAAGAAAGACAAATTCAATTAATTTTAGAAATTAATTTTAGAAAATTAAAATAATATAAAAAATATTGATTCTTTTTAAAGCCAACAATTATTATTATTACACAATTGTAGTGGAGTACAAAATATGGTTTTTCCCTCTAAAATTAAGTATAAATTATAAAGTTAAGTTGCATCACATTTATAAAGTACATGATGTGCTTCAGAAAACAACAGATTATAATGAAAGACAGAATAAAGAGTTTTTACATTAACGTTTATGTGAAATAAAATCACACATAAAATGTTTTCCTCTTTTTATACAAAAATAAACAATAAAAAAACGTATTTTTCTCTTCCTGACATTTTCAAACAATTAGACATTTATTGTGAAAATCTCAGGCGGATGTCCGGTGCTTTCTCCGGGTAACTTGACACGGGTCTGAACCGGGATAGTTTATGTGTGTCCATCATGTTTCAGCTGTTTTGTAACGCTGGCTGGAGGCGGGTTTAACTCTGCTGCTCTGTTACCGAATACCCGTTACGACCCGGGTTAAAGTGTCGCTGTCCGGTTAGCACGGCTCCGATTCAGGGCTAAAACATGTCCCGGGTTCTGATAGTCGGAGCGGGTCTGACAGGCAGCTTGTGCGCATGTCTGCTGAGGAGAGAGCTGCAGAACAAAGTTCAAATCGTGGTGTGGGACAAAGCGAGAGGCTCAGGTGAGTCTGCGGCCAGATCTCCATTCAAAAATTTGACTAATTATATTTACGGTCTCACAGCGTCACACAGGTACACTGCAGGACAGGGCTGAAGGCAGTTTCTACACCTGTGGGTCTGCTCTTTAATTCGGCTCTAAAGTGATTCATAAAAATTGTCTGCAGCAGCGTCAGTCAGATCTTCAATGAAAAATCTGGCTATTTTATATCTCTGGCCTCACAGCTGCACAGAGTCACACTGCAGGACAGGACTGAAGATGTTTCCATTATCAACAGACTCTCCTTATATATTCGGCTCCACTGTGATGTGTACAGCTGACTTAAATACAATAAAACTTTAACTTTTTATAGATTGTAGTCTGTTGCTCACCTGCAGCCTTGAAAGCAAGTGAGTGTAGAAATCAGAGGTGGGAACAACTTTTACATTTAAAAAGAGTCAGGTTTATAATGGACTTTGGTGCACAGAACATGACAAGAGACATCAGGAAACTACAGACAACTGACGCTGTCTCTGTCTCTCAGGTGGCAGGATGTCCACCACTCGTCCTTCAGACCCCTCAGCTCACTTTGCTGATCTTGGAGCTCAGTACATCACCGCCACAGCTGCCTACGCTAAGTCACACCACAGGTACAACACACACCTGTCTGCAACACCTAAGACCCGCCTTTTAAGGACACTTCACCCAAAACTACAAAAGAAATTATATTTATTTATTTGACGAACGTGTTCACAGTTTTTTTATTGACACTTAAACGGAATAAAATCAGCTGATGTAACCAACAGAATAATCACCTGTAACATTTTTGATAACTGATGAATCCTTGATTATATAAATTGTGTTGAGGTTTTATATCACTGTGAGCTGGATGTCTGTGTCTTGGACTGTTGGACAGACAGAAGACATTTAAAGACATCACTCAGAGTTTTAGGAAATTACAAAGAGCTTTTTTTGTACAACTTAAGAAACTGTGATGAACCGATCATCAGTAAAAACAGTCTGTACTCAGAGCTGCTGTCTGCTGGCTCACTGTGTGTCTGTTAGTTTGTACTCAGAGCTGCTGTCTGCTGGAGTCCTGAAGCCTCTCAACGCTCAGATTGAAGGACTGAAGCACAAAGATGGCAGCAAGGACTACATGACACCACTGGGCATGTCCAGTATAGTCAAACACTTCCTGTCTGAGTCAGGTACGCACCAGTACCTATCTTCTGTCCAACTCCCTCTCTCTGTCTCTTCCTGTCTTTCTCTCTTTCACCGTAGTTCCCTCTCTTTGTGTCAGGAGCAGATCTGTTCTTTGAGTGTCATGTGACTGGCCTGTACCGCCGTGGTGCATCATGGGAGGTCCAGAGGAAGGCAGGAGGCAGCGAGATGTTTGATGCCGTCGTCCTGACGATGCCGGTCCCTCAGATCCTGCAGCTGGAGGGAGACGTGGGACAAAGTAAGACACGGACAGTTATACGTCTGTTAATGTCGGTTGTAGCTTCTCAGTCGTGTTACTGATGCATTCAAATCTGAAGAACATAACTTTGGTCTGGGTGTGGAAGCTTTAGTCTTAAAATGCTATTTTCCCCGCCTTTCTAAAAACGTCTTCCTATCTGACCTGCCGTAGGTTCCTGTACGATGTCGTTGCTTCACATAAAACCACAAACTGCTGAGAGTCACACGGTAACAAACAGAAGTACAGCAGCAAGCAGCTTCTGTTCGCCACAGCGAGCAGGTTTTTGTCTTCACGAGTCAGAAGTCACTTCAGCTTCTTTATTTCTGTCTGAAGACGGAGTGAGAGCGATCACAAACGTGTCCCACCGCCACCGTGAACGCAGCAGTTCAATAAGAGCAAATAAAATCCCTCCACTCGGCCCTCTTTGATCAGAAACTTGATCTGCACATTCAGATGTTTCTACCTGATGTTTCCACTGAGTGTAATCAGGACTGCTCAAAGGAAACTCCAGATATAGTCTATCTCCTGTTAAGCCTCGCCCTTGGTAAGATTTTTTTTTTCTTCCATAAATGGCGGCCATGTTTTTTGACTGATTTTTGCTCATTTATAATAGAAAGTTGCATAAACATCCAAAGATGCTGTGTACCATGTTTCCTGTCGATAAACATAAAATTCATCAGGTTCTATTCACGTGACTGTTTTTGAAACAATTTAAAATGGCGGAAAATCCAGTGGGCGGAGCCTAATGGTCCTAGACGCATTTTGTGGTGCGTTCGTTTTGTACTCTGAGGTTGGAAATTCCCAGTTCTCAATCGGAAGTTTAAACTCGAACGCACCCTGAGATCGGATTTCCAACTTGGAAACTTGGAGCAACCGCATCAACCCCGAATTATGAATTCAAGATGGTTGCCGGTCACATACATAGTGAGTAAACACTCTGCTAAAGTACTGTTTATAGCAATTTTATCTTATTTGTTAGATTAGGTCAGCCTCATCTGCGGCGTTCATCAGTTGGAGTGCATGGAGCTGTCTATACTCTGAAAGTGCGAGGGCAACAAAGCCTTTCTTGCGGGCGTCCATGTTTTTTTCCGACTTGTCCACCGTTGTCAACTAGAATGCAAAAACTGTTGTCAACTCGAGGTGACGTCATTCCCACTTCCGACCTCCGAGTACAAAATGAACGCACCGTTGTGGTGTGAGGGGCATGGACTTTCCAATATTGGCCTTAATGACAGCGCCACCGTGTGGCTTTTTGGCGCAATTTTTGTTAGGTATGTTCAGAACGCCGCTCCAGATGTTTCCGGTGAGTTTCATCAGGATTGGTCATCTGGAGTTATGAGTTAAAATGTAATAGGTCATGCGCACTTTCAGACACTTCAAATTCTGGTAAATCTCAGCCCCGGAGCACACTGACCAAATTTGGTGAAATTCTGACCTCTGAATTTTGAGGAACATATTTTTGGTGCCCCCTATGGGTCTGACTCAAAATGGTTTGGTCAACCTCTTCCCAGCCCCGTTCTGAATATATTCACCAAACCTTATGATGATTTAATACTTTGTTAATGAGTTTTGTGCTAAGCCCCGCCCCCTGCAAAGGTTTATTTGTAGAGGGCGGCTTTGTTTTGGATCAGTTTGACTCATTTGTAGTAGAAAGTCGTATTTTCATCCTCAGATGGTGTAAATTAATTTCAGTGTTAATAAACTCAAAATTCATCAAGTTCTGTTCATTTAACTGTTTAAATCCAACCCAGTAGGCGGAGCTTAATGGGAAGCATTTGCACATCATTTCCAGTTGTTTAGCAAAGTTTCATGTGTTAAGCTCATTCCAGCTCACGGGAGTCTGAGCCGACGAATTCATCAGAGCTAAAACAACAGGGTTATATTAAAGAGTTAAAACCTTTGAACTCTGATAAAGAATCGAGGCCGCGGCAGATCAGCGTTTGTGATTAAGGGAACTCTTAAATCTCACATCACATGTTGATGAATGACTGCAGTGTAAAATCTTTACTGATGGACGGTGAATAATTAGTTGAGAGCAAAATAACATAACAACCAAGATCATCGACCCGCTGAGGGCTGGATTCAAAATCAAAGTCAAACATTAAAATCACAGGATGATCAACTCATCATGTGACTCAGTCGTGTGTACGGCCCTGCCTGCCTGTATGACCTCCTGACAATGTCTGGGCTCCTGGTGAGTCGGAGGATGGCGTCCTGGGGGATCTCCTCCCAGACCTGGATCAGGGCATCAGTGAGCTCCTGGACAGTCTGTGGTGGTACTTGGCGGCGGTGGATGCACCGATACGTAACGTCCCATAGGTGCTCAGTTGGATTTAGATCAGGGGAATGAGAGGACCAGTCAGTGGCCCAATCCCAAACCGCTCCCACTTCACTACCGAGTGTCACTCCAAATCAAGTTACACTCTCAGCTGCGGAGGGCACTCCTGATTAAGGGGAAGTGTATAAAAGAGAAGCCAAACCATGGGACGCCCTCGCCACTCTACTGGAAGAAGGAAGCAGGTGTAACCATGGATACCGTCAGACGCTTGTGAGAGCAAAACAGAGCAACAGGCTATTAGAAAAAAACATTTAAATATGAATTAAAATGAGTTAGATTAAAATAAACAAGTCAGGTAAGAGTTACAGTGCAGTGTAATCAGAGTAATTAACTTGTTCATATTTTCTAGACACAGTTCACACATTCACTGACAGTTAAAAAAAAACGAACACACAGGACACGATTAATTAATTGTTAATAAAACACAGCTGATCGATCAGCTGATTGATCAGCTCAGTGTTGAAAGGAGGAACATTAATAATTATGTTACACTGACATGAGACAGGTGCTCAGTGTGACCACAGGGGGGCAGCAGCGTCTCACTGTAAACACTCTGCTGTTGCTCTTTATCGATTGTTATCAGTTGTTGATCAGTGTTGATCAGATGTGTTTATTTATCAAAGATGGAAACATGAAAAATGTTTGTTTTTATTTAGGTGTTAAAAAACTGACCCGAGAACAGAAACACTGCTGCTTTTATTTTGATGAGACCAGGCTGCTTCCTGTCTCTCTCTCTCTCTCTCTCTCTCTCTCTCTCTCACTCACACACACACACACACACACACACACACACACACACGCACACAAGGGATCAATACACTTCCTCTGATGGTAAATCTCTTCCTGCTCTCTGATTGGTCGATGGTTAAACACACTTTTAATAAAAGCTGCAGAACGTTCTGTGTGTGTGTGGTCGGGCTGCAGACGACAGCCCCTCCTCTTGTGTGTGTGTGTGTGTGTGTGTGTCCAGATGATGAGGATGATGTCATCTTCAGCTCATCTGATTGGCTGACAAGGGACAGCGCCCATTTCCTCCCTGCTCTCACACACTCTCTCTCAGGTTATTATTAGATGCACTGTGTGTGTGTGTGTGTGTGCGCAGGATGAGAAACATGCAGTCATCTCAGAAACGTTTCAGAAACCAGTGAAGAAGAACTCAGAGCCTCCTGAGACGCACACACACACACACACACACACACTGTGTGTACTTGTACTTGTGTATATGTGTGTACACATTGGACAGTATGTAGTTGTTCTGTATCCCGACTTTGATCTGATGATCGTCCAATCAGAGGACACGTTTACAGTTTGGAGTCATGAATCATCACAGATACACTGACCTGTCTGTCTGTGTGTCCCTCTGTCTTGTCTGTCTATCTGTCTGTCCCTCTGTCTGTCTCTCAGTGCTGTCTGTCCAGCAGAAGCAGCAGTTGGACGGAGTCGTGTACTCGTCTCGTTTCGCCGTCGCCCTCTTCTTCCCTCCGGACACCGTCTTCAGTTTCTCCTGGGCGGCTCGATATGTCACCGACAACACCTGCATCTGTTACATCGCTGCGGACTCCCGCAAACGCAACGCAGGTCTGTCTCACCTGCTGATGTCAGACCAGCTGTGATGTTTTTACACTGAACACTTCAGTTCTCTCTCAGTCTACATGTTTGTCGCAAAATTTGGTCGTAAAGTTGTTTAAATCTGTCGATGTTTCTTAAAATCCTCAGTAGGATGGGTCCTTGAGTCACTGAAGAGGCACCGCCTTCAATTCTGGCAAATCGTGCTCAAAGAATTGTGGGTACTTCCTGTTCGCTGATGATACACATGTGCATCCTTCAAAAGTCTCTGAAAGATGGACTCAGCTGTTCCTTCCCATCAAGTCAACACTTGAAGAGCTAATGTTTTATGTTTTATACGTTAACGTTATATAAATGATCCCAAACATTGTTTTGTTAACGTACAAAAATAAACAATGGTCAACAAACATAAGGAACAGTGAGCTGAAGGTAGTTAGCAAGCTAATGTTAGCTAACGTTAGCTTAACAGCAAAGGAGCTTTACTGTAACAAATGAATCTGAAATTTAAAAATCATTCATGAGTTTTTAAAATTTAATATCTTATTGTTCTGATGTTAAAATAACATCACATCTGTTGATTATGACTCGTTCAGGACTCGACACTCAAAGAAACAACACATTACGTTATATTTTCTGTAGACAAACACTGTAACGTGTCCACAGATCTCTGTTGGACAGGACTGTGTAAGACAACAGAAGAGCTCATGAACATTTTATTACTGCAGTTTAATCACTGTCGATATGCAGAGCAGCCATCTTGGATTTTAAGGTTTAGTTGAGTGAAGCTCCTCCGACTTCTCGAGTCACAAATCCAACTTCAGGGGGCGTCACTGGTGAAATGTCTGACTGGGAACTTTGAATTTCTAACTTACCGGTGCAAATGGAACGCACCATAACACCTGTGTGATGTCACAGTCTAACACCTGTGTGACATCACAGTCTAACACCCATGTGTCGTCGCAGTGAAGTCACTCTGACCACTCAGTGTCCATGTCTGTGCCCATTCAGACGCTCCTGGTTGCGGTCCGTCTCTTGTCGTCCACACCAGCGTCCCATTCGGCCTGGAGCACCTGGAGAAGGACAAGGAGGACGTCCAGCCAATCATCTTACAGGAACTTCAGAAGCTACTTCCTGATCTACCTCAGCCAATCAGCATCAAGTGTCAAAAGTGGAGGTACTCGCAGGTGAGCCTGTGGACACTGGAGTTTCCCACTGACCTTGAACCCCCCTCAGTGCGTTTGATTTACGACCCCTCCCGTTCCTCCTGCAGGTGCTGACCTCAGTGCCAGACTGTCCAGGTCACATGACCGTCCTTGACCGCCCGCTGCTCGTCTGTGCCGGTGACGCCTTCGTCCACTCCAACTTTGACGGCTGCGTGGAGTCTGCACTGAGCACGCTCAGTGTGCTGAAGGCCTCGCTGTGACGCGACAGGAAGTGACTCAGACTGTGGACGAGTTTCTGAGACGCCTTCAGATCAGTGATCAATACAGGTCATCAGTGAACACGTGAACAATTTATGAAGTGATTAATTTTATTTACATATTAATGTTTCATTTATTTTATTGAATGCACATTAATCAAAAGTTCAGCTGATTTATTGATCTGATGTTTCATTGATTGTTTTTCACTGATTAAATTAACAAATGTGAGTTTAATAATTCTGTGTCCTAAAATATCAAGGTCAGTTTATCAGTGGGTTAACTTAAACCTGGTTTATCTGAGGGTTAACTTAAACCTGGTTCATCTGAGGGTTAACTTAAATTAATAAATGTGAGTTTAATGATTCTGTATCCTAAAATATCAAGGTCAGTTTATCAGTGGGTTAACTTAAACCTGGTTTAACTTAGGGGTTAAGTTAACCCTGGTTTATCTGAGGGGTTAACTTGAACCTGGTTTATCTGAGGGTTAACTTAAACCTGGTTATCCGAGGGTTAACTTGAACCTGGTTTATCTTAGGGGTTAAGTTAACCCTGGTTTATCTGAGGGGTTAACTTGAACCTGGTTATCCGAGGGTTAACTTGAACCTGGTTTAACTTAGGGGTTAAGCTAACCCTGGTTTATCTGAGGGGTTAAGTTAACCCTGGTTTATCTGGGGATTAACTTGAACCTGGTTCATCTGAAGGTTAACTTGAACTTGGTTTATCCGAGGGTTAACTTAAACCTGGTTTATCTGAGGGTTAACTTAAACCTGGTTTATCTGAGGGTTTACATCAGAGTTCAGCCTCAGATTGTTTTATGTTTGACTCTTTGATCTCATGTGATGAACTCAAACTAATAAACTTTATGTGTAAACTGATGGTTCTTGATGATGTGACAAACTGAAGAGATGAGGTCACCGGGTTGGACTGAGCCGAGGCAAGAGGCCAGACTGTCTCACCTGTGGGCTGACAGGTGTGCCCCAGGTGAACTGATAACTGTGTGTCAGCTGAGGTTGTGTGTGATGAATAAAGTGAAGACGCTTCCTCTGCTGCTTCCTTTGATCTTTTTATAGACGCAGATAAGACAGAATTAGTTATGGTTTGGTGCCCACGAGGCTCACTCTGTGTGTGTGTGTGTGTGTGTGTGTGTGTGTGTGTGTGACCTAATTTTTCCTTGCCTGTTCTTCAGTAGTTTGGAGTAGTGCCGCTGCAGTGCATTGTGGGGGAAGCGATTATCATTTCTGCCAAGTCACTGGTAGATCTCTCTCTCACACTCACACACACACACACACACACACACACACACAGGATGCTGGGAGAACATCGTCCTGTAGAAGAGTTTAAATAAAGATTTATTTGAATGAAGTTTTGTCTAAAGGTCGTCAGTCAGTATCTTAAATATCTGCAGTACAGCAGTAACAGTACCAATACCACAGAGTATAAGTACTCTGTTACTACTTTCTTTTACTTACTTTTATTACTTAATATTATCACTAATGATACAACAACTGATACGACTTCTACTACTGCTACTGTTACTGAGAAACATCCCCCTGCTGGAGAGACGCCATTTTAGACGTGCACATGTGCAAGTACCAGACTCTCAGTTGTATGTTGTACAGACGGAGATCGTTAAATACGTGTTTTAGATCTTTGTTGTAAAAATAACGTTAGCCTTGTGTTCACAGTTGCTTGTTTGAAGCAGAAACAGAAAACTTCTACTACCTAGCGCACTAGCTCGTTAGCTAACGCCGTCTCCTTATCAGCTCCTTAATCATGGATCAGTAACTTAGAGAATATAGAAACTGTCACCACAGTTTATTTTAGGAGGACTGCTCCAAGGAAACGTGTTCTGTGTTTAGATGATCAAACAGACGATGGATCACAGATACTTGTTTCTGGCTGCAGGCTAAAAATACGATAATTTTGAGTCTCTGGTACGATAATCCTATGTTTCCCACCTGGCAACGCTGATGCTAACATTAACCCTTGACAGAGTATCAACAGACGGGAACTTTTTTATCAACATTTTTAAGTGGAAATAGACGACTTTACAGCTAACTTAACTAACGTGCTAGCTGTGCTAGTTAACGCTGGCAGCCAGAAACAAACAGCTATGATTCATTATTCGTTAACTGTGCTCTAATTTAAACAAAGAACATGTTTTCTCGCGGTGGTCCTTTTAAAATGAGCAGTGAAGTTACCATTTTCTGTTATGATGAGTTGATACAGACACTCGCACTAGCATAGCTAATGAGTTGAAATGTTGACTCCTCCCACTGCTGTGAGGTGATTTTCTGGAATAAAAGCTGGTTAGTGTTTGACTGACAGCGGGTTGTGAGCCTCTGATTGGCCACATTAAAAAATGATTGACAGTTACCACACATTCTCGAGCTCACACATGTGCACGTCTAAAGTGGCGGCTCTGCAGGGGGGTGATGTTGCTATTACTACTTCTATAACTACTACTGCAACTACTAGCACTAGTACTCCTAAACATTTGTGCACTACTTCTCCATACTTTAAGTTGCAGAAACCGTCCAAATGTTAAAGCAACTCTTGAGACATTATATATTTACGTTCATTTTTTTCCTACTTTTATGTTTTTAAAGTTTGAAGTTTTCCTTCTTTGAACCTTTTCAGTTAATTTGAACCTTCACCTTTGACACTCACAGTTCAGCTTTAGCTTCTGACAGATTTTCAGAAGTTTTATTTTCCTGTATTTTCAGCCAGTTTTCAATTTCAGCGTTCAGCATCCACACGCATTTTCAGCAGGAAAATCATTTTCTAGTATCAGTAATCTGAATGTGTAACGTAACTAAAGCTGCCAGATAAAAATATAAGTTACCTCTGAGATGAGGAGGAGGATGAGGAAGCAGAAAATGGAAATACTCAAAGTACAAGTACCTCAGAATTGTACTTAAGTAAATGTACTTAGTTACTTTGCTAATTAGCTGCTGTTGGCATGTTAACATTCAGTCTGTGATGAGGGGGATGGGTTTGATCTCACCCTGAGACTCATGGGAGTTACAGTTGTTAAAATAAAATCCAGACAACAACAACAGATGTTTATAAATAGTTTATTCACCTTTACAGTGTTTTTATTTCATTATAAAATCAGGAGGGACAGAGTAAAACGTGTGTGTGTGTGTGTGTGTGTGTGTGTGTGTGTGGAAGGGAGGGGGGGGGTTCAGTTTAACATGAAATGTCTTCAGGCCGGTGGTTACCAAGGGTTTTCTGTTTGTTTGTTTGGTTTTGATTTTGTCAACAACAAACAAAAAAATAAGAACAAGACAATCATCATGAACAGAAAAGTTGTGTCCGCTGAAACTGAAACATGAAACTGAACGACGACACCCTGCTCCGACAGTTTCTGATGATCAGGGACTTTTACGAAACCACGTCTGTCACAGAGTCCAGTCTGAAACTTTGACATCACTCCAGAAACACCTGTTTACCTGTTCAGGTCCCGTCTACACATAAACTGATATTTTTAAAAACTACCTTGGTTTTTACAATATGTCTCCGTCCACACCAGAACGACTCAAAACACTCACCCGGCCACTAGGTGTTGGTAAAAGCTGCCTCGACAAAGTGTCAAACACCAAAGAATGATCCCAAAATGTTTTTTTCTGGACGACTTCAGGCCGCAGATGCTGAGGTTGACCAGGTAACGTCGAGCGCCGCAGACCACTCAACTCGTCTTTGAAGTGGTGCAGCAGCACAGCGGGTTGATGTAACGTCATGATTAGACTGAAGCAGTGCTAACAAAATAAACAAGCTGTTAGCCTGCTGCTGCTGTTGTTTTTGGCGTATGCTCATTGCACAAAGCAACAACAGCCATGTGCAAACTGGGAAGATGACATAGTTTCCCAAATGCTCCAATCAGATACACAATAGCAGAAGTTTAGACAGATCTGCACTGTACGAGGTGTTTTCCAGAATTTGCGTTTGTGTGGACAAGAGGTCAAAACGTGGAGGAGAAGAGGGGTTTTCAAAAATAATTTTATTCGTGTAGACAGGAAGTTAAACACAGTGTTTAGATTTCCCAGTCGGATCTTTATCAGGTCAAACCTGTCAACGGGACGCAGTTTGAATAAAGTTTTCATTCTCTAAACACCTCCCACCAACTGGGACTATCCAATCATATCTCAGCATCTAGTCGAGGTTAGCTTTAGTTCCATCAATTAGCATCATATCCTGTCTTGTTAGCTTAAGCCTCAATCTGTTAGCATCATATCCTGTCTTGTTAGCTTTAGCCTCAATCTGTTAGCATCACGTCCTGTCTTGTTAGCTTTAGCCTTAGTCTTTTAACATTATATCGTGTGCTGGAACCTGTTAGCTTTAGCCTCAGTCAGTTTTTACGTCTTTACAGGGTTTTTGTATGTAAAACAAATCAGTCATGAAAAATGAAAATGTCAGTTGGAGAGCGAGTTTTCAACCAATGCATGGAACTAACGTTAGCTTAATTAGCTAGTGTGACAGTGACGACAGAACTGAGCTGAAATGAAATAATTTATTCTACTTCTGTCTGAAATGAAGGACCAGTTGTTCTAATACTCCGCAGTGACAAAGAGTAACGAGTGGGGGGAGTAAGTGAGCAGTCACTTTTTAACCATTTTGAAATGTTCAGGTTGTTGTGTAGCCACGCCCCTCATCTTAAAGCCTGTGGGTATGGATTTTAAACATTACCTGACAAAGATCCACCTGGGATTGAACTGTTTCCTGTTTACAGAAATGTGGCGGTTTGAGAAACTAACGAACACAGAGGAGCAGGAAACTGTTGCTGAAGTAAAGGTGCTGTCACATGATGCCCCATCCTACAAACACCGCCTCTCATTCACCTCGATAAAAACCAAATGATGACCTGTTTGGTGTGACTTCCATCCGTCTCCGGCGGAGTCACAGGTTCAGTCAATACAAACACTGATACAGAGGGTTTGCACAATATGACACTACCAGATGAGTCTGAGTGCAGGGCAGCGTTTGTTGAACGGGAACTCATGTGACGCATCTTAAGGCAAAAAGTAGAAAAAACATGAACATCGACCGTGTTTACCGTGTCACCTCCAAATTAACCAGCAAACAATCAAAAACTTAAAAAGAAATTAGAGTCTGAGCTTCGTTTTGGCAGGTTTGATGATGTAAACAGAAAAGAGTAAAAGTGTTGTCCGGTCGGCAAAAACAGACACAAGAAATAAGCTCTGAAGGGATCACTGGAGTTTGACTGTCATCTGTAAAATGGTTCACTGCAGCTGCTGAAGGTTACAAGTTAATCCAGAGTTCAGGGTTCCTTCAGAGTCCAGATTCAAACGTCATCGACTTCATTGGAAACATGGCCGACTCCACTGTTAACACCAAATGTAGAGCTGCTGATCTGAAACACTGAACTCAGTGACATCTGAGGGTTCATGTTCAGGTGTCACTTCTCAAAGATGTCTCTGGGACTTTCTGGAACAGTGCAGGAACCCTGAACATCTGTCAGAACAGACCAGAGAGGGTTGGAGGAGGGTGGGGACAGCTTCACCAAATGTCTTAGTAAAACTCGAGACAAGGAGAAAGTCAACACTGGGTCTGTACGAGTCTACCACACGGACTCGACTCTGCTGGACTAGAATGTGTCGTCCGTGAAACAACTGTAAAATGGTCAAAAGGAAAAGATACCGAGCACCTGAAGCAGTCAGAGACGTGGACAGCACCAGCCTGGCCTCAAATACCCGAAACCCATTCATTGCACACTGGTATGTGCAGTGTTCAACCGGAAGTACTACATATACTTCGTCCTGCTTTTGTTAAGAGTTGAAGGTCGTAAAGAGACAGATGCCCGTTGTCATTTCAAACAGGCTGTTGGTGTTGTTTGGGAACACGTTAAGGATTACGGCTGGCACATGAAAACTTGGGTGTTTGGAGATGTTAGTGTGGCTTTGTGCTTTTATTTACTTGCGTATTTTTTCTTTTTCATTTCAAACCCGCCTCCCAGCAACAAGTTGTACCAACCCATAAGCTTATTTGAAGCAAAGGGACGCACAATGTGTTGCTGAGATTTGGGAGGCCTGGGCATCGACTCCTCAGCATTCTAAAGTTTCCCGCAACACATGTACGCACACCTTCATAGAACCAGATTTGTGATCAGCCTCATTCGAGCCACATGCCAACACATTTTAAAGAAAATCTGCAGCAAGAGATGAGTGTCTCCAACAGCCTCCTGAAACAACTGGAATTAAAGGTCATTGCTTTAGGTGCAAGGTTCTCGTGGATGATGTAATCTAGGTTTGCTGGTTGAGTTTAGGAGTCCACACCAGCTTGCAGTAGTTTGTTGTGTTTTCTGCGTGACCTCTTTCAGGTTTTAAGCCTCTCCACTGAACAAATCTACACAGCAGTCATGCTTGAACGGGGTGCTGACAGGAAGTGAGGCCAGGCTTAACAGCACCTAACAGGAGTCAGGACAGGAAGTGTGTTGTTGTTGTAAAATACACAAACAGAGCCTGTGGATAGATCGCCACACTGACGACAGAGCTGCTCGGTGTCACAGATCAAGACACGAACACTCGTGGCTGGTAGAGAGCACCAAAGATGGACAACAGGCTCAACATCAGCCCTGGCTAGCTTAGCTTAGCACCTTAAACCCAACGAGATGACATGTAGGACTGACGGTGGCTGTTCAGAAGCACCGGTCTTCTGAGAGCACGAGGCTATGAGAGGCTTTCATTGAGCTGCAGTACTAATAGCCCCCAAGACATGATCACACAGGACGCAACGTCATCAGTGGCAGGCACCTTTTTCTACTTGATCCAATGACTTCAAGGAGTTTTAAGTCCTTTTTTTTGGGATCCAAGGTTTTATGATCTGTTGACCAGAAAGTCAGTTTTGTTTCTCTTCCTTTGGCACAGAGAGGAAGTCAACTAACAATGACCCCTCCAGCTATGAACATCATATCTACGCGTTTTATTATTTTTGTGGATGTTTTTCTGGCTCTGGAAGATGGCGTTCCCCTCTTAACCCTGCCTTCAAAGATGTGATTGACTTGGTTGTTTTTGGTCATCAATTAAGAGGTCTGGGACCAACGTATTTTATCTGCCCAGTACACCTCACTGCGAGGAAATAAAGGAACAGAAAAACGGCTTACGTCTTTGGGGGAATTTCTTCGCTTTCCAATCAGATGATTAATGAACTGGGTCTTTCTCCTTTAGCTCTGCGATAAAGATGGACATCAGATTACTAGTTTGTGATTGTCATTCCTGTTCAGCGTGTTTCACCTTCACCAAGAGACAGCTTCAAACTTGGAGTGTTGGGACCACAGACTGTTTATTAAGATGGATGATGCGTCCCCACCTCCTCCCACTGTACAGAACTCAAGTTAAAATATTCTGGATACGGTCGCTGCCATTTCGTTACGGTAACAAAGTTTCCTGCTCATGCACCTGTCCAACTTATCGCGAGCAGCACCTCATGTCCCATCTACTAACATGAAGGGGGTGGGGTTTATGACCTGTACTGCAGCCAGCCACCAGGGGGCAATTTAAATGTTTAGGCTTCATTTTTGGTGAGCTGTCATGTTGTCCATCTTTATACACAGTCTGTGGTCAGGACTAAGAATGGCCAAGTGTCCTCTGGACGCCGGGATCGGTCCCGTATGAGTCCCAGATAAACTTCTTCGTCCCTGCTCTGTCAGTATCAACCCTGTTCTCTGACACATTTGGGACATCAAGATTGTAACCAGTCGTGCTTGATATTACCGTGATTGGCCTTTCAGTGTGCGGCTGTGTGCCTTTGACCCCTTGAGTTCAGGTTCTGTTATAATGTCGAGATAGAATGTCAGCTTGGGAACTGCCTTCTATCGAACATCTCCTTGAGAGTCACATGACAGTATCAGTGCTTCTGCCTCTGCAGCTTCTCAGAATAATCGCTGAGGATTTCTTATTTTCAAGTACGTCCTGTGTGACCAGGCTCTTGGTAAGGCCCGCAGGGTCGACATCATGAACTATAAGACCCAACCCAGACTCTTGATACGACACCTGTGATGAACAATCAATAAGGACGAACTTAGAGCCAATGATCGGTAGTAGCACCAAATGTTAGGACGGAAAATTAGACATCAGAACTAAAACTTCTACCCACGCTCAATCTGACGGCAGATGTTCCTTTAGATCATGAAGGATGCTCCGTTCAATCAGATGAAATCTGGGCAAAGTGACTGTTTTTTAATAGAAATTACTTTAAATACTTTAAATAGTGCTCTCATGGCCTGTTCTCGACTGTACAGCAATCAGACGTCGCTGCCATTTTAAGTCCAATAAGGGTAATTTTTGCAGTATAAACACTAGCAGGGGCGGAGGAAGCTTCCTTTGCAGACATAAGAAGGTACATCCACAAAATAATCATCCAAAAGTCTGTTTACATTTAGAGGAGGTTTTAAATTTCTCTTTTAGCTTGTTGCACAAGAAGGTAAGCCCCAACATTCAGTAAGAGCCCAAAAAACAGGAACCAGTTGGTGATTAGTTCCTGTTTCCTTTGATGTCTAATGCTCTAATGAAGTCTATGAATCTAAAAGACGAATCGGAGCATCCCTAATGTTCATTTATTTCTGTAAAATCCAGACAGAATAGCCCTGAACCTGCTGTAATGCTAATGTGATCCTGTCATCCCTGGTGTTAAAGGTTCAGTTTGCAAGAATGTGAGTACTTAAATGTCTCCAAGAAGTAGTGGCGAGTACAACGATTAATAGTCTATGGACAGAGCTATACTAGTTACAGAGCAACAACCTTTTTTTTTTGAAATGTCAGAAACCAAAGACAAGAAGAGGCTGAACCTCCTGACTCTCAAGACCAACTGAGGTCACGAAACCTGCTGGAAGCTGATTGGTCAGCAGCTGCTGAGTTAATGAAATGCTCAAACAAACTTCTTTCACCTTGGTAGAAAGGGTTCCTCAACATCATCTGGCCCATGATCCCAAAATACTCTCGAGGACAGTGATCTGTACCTGATCTTTATCCATGAAACATCAACTGCAAACCCATGTTGGGTCCTGACCCCAAGGCTGAGAAACTCTGAGCTCAAACTTCAAAGATGGCAACTTTATAAAAAGGACTCGATCTAATCAGTAGGACAGGAGCCAGACAGGCTTTGTTGGATGGACTGGGCTTGCCTGGAAATTTGCATCAACATTCAGTAAACTGTCCTTTATAAAGTGCAAACCCCACCCGCCTGGCATCCCAGGCACATCAAACCAAGCGCTCTGGAGTTGAAGGTTTCTGCTGTAGCTTGTGTCGGGGTGCGTTAGCCTACATAGCTCAAGGAATGGTTACACTGTGTGTAGCTTGTCTATTGTTTAGCTTAATGTTGGATATAAGTCAGAGTATAACAAAAATACATTTCTGTAGGTGTAGGAGCTGATTGAAGAGCTGAAGAGAAACTGAAGACGGACAGACAGAAAAGCATTTGTTCACAGTAGGTTTGTACTGTTTGTGTTCTCGACAGTAGATGATTGACAGAGTTGCAGCAGATTGTGAAGTTTCTCTTCTTCATTGTCTTTCTCAGACTGTCATTTCTCTCTGTGTGCTGCTCGTCCCAAAGCCAGTCCTGACCAAAACCTGCTAAAGACCAGCAGTGAGACTGGTCCAAACAGGACTCAGGACTAGGAACAGTAAGTCTGGAGGGCTCAGAAGGTCTTTGGTAGTTTCCAATGTCAACAACACAAAAAAAATCAACGAAGTGTAAAAACTCTTCACAGATTAAAGAACTCTGTAATTCAGTTTTAGCCCAAAGTTAGACTGCTGACGAACTCAGACCGGTCTGAAACAGCTCAAACTGGCTCACACCAGCTCAGACTAACTGGTCCAAACTGGATCAGACTATTCTGGATAAGTCTGAAGTGATACTGATCCAAACCGACTCACCACTGTCCAGTTTAGTCTGTTCTTCTTTTGAAGAACAGGGTTCTGTTTTGATGTACAAGAACCTACAATAATCTGTCAGGACGAAAATCTGAACCTACAACTGGCTCACCTTCTTCAAGTGGCACTAGAGTTGGGTTGATTTCTGATTCTGCTGGTCCAGTCTGGTCCGGTGTACGACATTAAACCCGTTAGACACAATTTGGCAATTTAAAAAGTCGCCTACATCACCAACCTGCCCCGACCATGTCACAGCACTCAATCCATACTGTGTCAGTAGTCCCAGTCTGACCTCCATCTAACAGCTAAGAGCTACGTGGTTTGTTTACGTGATGTAACAGCAGATCATATTTAGGTGTGGACAGACGTTACGTGATGCGGCACAGTCGTCGGACACCAGTTTTCTGTTTGCTCAGTTCAGGAGCACCTGCTGAGTTAAGTGTGACACCTGGTGGTAAAATTTAGTATACTGGTCTGATCTGGTGATTGGCTGAACATCAAACCGGTCTGAATACTGTCACAGCAGCCCCACCTGAAGTGTAGGTGTGATGGTTCTTTATAGTCATCATTAATCTGGTTTCATAGTTAGTGTCCCTCAGCGTCCAAATTTCAGTCCCAGTTAAACGTGACAAGAGAAACTCTGCAACATAATGACTTCCTGATTTTAAGTGCAGATATAATTTTGCTGAAATTTGCAGATATCATCACTGGCCTTCAGAAACCTGCGACGTCTGAGACGAGTTCAAAAAAAAAAAAAAAAGTAAGGTTTGTAAATTTGGGCTGAAAAGTTGGACGTGTGCACACAGAGAGAAGTGTCAGCTCTCAGAAACAGCTTAACACAATTGAAGATTGAAGAAATGGAAAAATAAAATTGGTCGGTATAAAGTTTCCTACAACTGGTCAGGAAGGAAGAAAGGAAGGAAGGACACACAGGGGTTGTGGGTATTTATCCAACAAACATCTTGGTGTAGTCACTAAAGAAGTCTACTTGTCTTTCAGTTTGTTTATATTCAAGTTTTACTCTTTTATTTTTTAAAATCTCCTGTCTGTCCATTCATCTGTCTCATTGTCCATTCGCCGTGCATTTGCCCGGCCTGGCCCCGCCCACACGTTAATCCCCGCCCTCCTCACCATGTGATTGTCCAGCTGTGCATTGAGCAGAAGATGGGGGGTGGGGTGGGTGGGGGGGTGGGGTCTTATAAACTGATCTGAGCTCTGTGAGTCCCACAGATCAGCCGTGGTCCATTGGTTACATCATCCCGTTAGCTAACAACACGCTAGTCTCAGTAACGGGCTCATGAGTGTGTAAACATACTGAATATATATATATACACATATATATCTGTATGTGTGTGTGTGTGTGAGAGAGACAGTGTGTGTATGTGTGTGTGTGTGTCAGACTTTTGTGATCTGATTGTGATGGTCATCTTCAAACGGCTCGTTCTCCGGGTCCGAGTCCGTTGTGTCTGAGTAGCGGTAGTGATCCGGTTCGTTGTCGCTGACGTCCGGTGTCACCGAGGCCGACGTGCTGCTGGCGTCACAGTTCGCTCCTTCCTCTACCGTCTTGGTAAAATACAGTTTCACCTGAAGCAGACGATAAAAACAGGTCGACCGTTAGAGTATAATCATGCAGCGATGTGGAAACCTGCTGATGGTGATGGCGGCTGGAGGCACCGCCTTTTGTAAAGCCGCAGCCCGTCGCTACCAGTAACTGTATGTTTAGGTGAGGTCATCGGATTGCTGAAGGCCCTGGTGGATCAAACTTTACTGTCTACAGAAAGTACTCTCCAACAGTACGCAGTCATTTCATACTGTGTCTGGTGAAATATGACAATATGTGATCACTGGACACTGTGCCGACATTAATGGCCTGGAGAGTCCCGCCCCCAACATCCTGTGTTTTTCTCACGCTGCACGGTGAAACCAACATAAATGTTTTACCTTGAAGTTCGGGGAGAAGTTCCTGTTGGCCTTGTCTTTGTTGGCCTTGTCTAGGTCGTTCTTGGTCAGAGTGAGAACCAGGAAGTCTCTATCGTTGGTTTCTCCTCCCATCATCATCGTCGTAGTCGTCATCATCATCATCCCCGGATTCTGCTGCATTCTGTCGGCCGGTTCCCGCGGCGTCCCGGCACTGCCGTTCTCCAGTTTGACAAGGTTCTCCTCCGGCCCCGGTATGAAAAACGTGTTGACCCAGAAGTGGAACATCTTTTCCTGGAAGGACAGAAGAGGTTCAACCAGCACTCTGAGACAGGTGAAGAACATGTCGCACTACTGACCCTCCTCCTCACCTTCTTCATCATCTTGTTCTGCTTGTGGAAGAACTCCACCTTGATGTCTCCGCAGACAGGAAGTGGCTGCGGGAACTCGAACAGCATCAGTTTGTCTTCCCGTCGGGTGTGGGCAGGGTTAGAGGTGTGGATCTTCACCTTCAGCTGGTACACCACAAACTGAGGATCTGCACCACAAACACATCGACCAGTTAACTGTCTGTCTGAAGTCAGACACCTAAACAGACAGACAGACAGACAGACAGACAGACTTACTGCAGGTGCCTCCGGTGAACATGGGGATGGTTTCAAAAAGCATCTTGTGGAAGAGCAGGGCGACAGGTTTGTACAGCAGCTGGTTCCTCAGCAGGAAGCTGTAGTAGATGACGTAACGCCGCTGACTGGGGATGGTCACGCCCTGAACACACACACACACACACCCAGAAATATAACTCATCCAGGTGTTTGTTTCTAGACAGAACTCAGCGTCTGTCTCTGGTTCTACTTCATCTCAAACGCTGACGTCACTGTTACCTTCTTGTCGCGGGTGCGGACCTCCCCATAGAAGTCCAGGGCTTCCTGAGCCTCCTGGAACTTGCCTCGGTGCAGCAGGTAGGCACAGATCATGACGCCGGTGCGACCTTTTCCCGCCTTGCAGTGGATGGCGGCGACGTGCTGCTCGTCTTCGCTGAGCCACTGATCCAGGTCCTCGCAGAACGGCTTGATCAGCTCCAGCTGGGGCGGGTTGTGGTCCTCGAACGGGTACTGAGCAACTGACAGAGACACAGACAGGACAGAGACTCAGCTTGACTCAGTCTGACTCAGTGTGTCAGCTCAGCACAGCAGGAGTTTGTGTCTCCATCCAACATGACGACCTCATTCAAGCTGTGTCTTTAACTTCTGACAGCTCGCTGCTGCGATGATGAAATGTCTCGGCGGCGGACTGTTGGTGTGATGCTGCTGAAGCTCACCAAACAAAGCTCTGCCCTTATTTTTCTCCAAGTGAGGAAATGTAATATCTATTTATAAAGTTCCAAGAATCCGCTTGAACTTTTTAAACATTTTTAAGGTTTGAAGGTCCAATCATCACAACAGCATGTCATCAAGAGAGACTATAACCAGAACTATCACCTAGCTCATCGTTGAGTCCAGGTGGACGTTTGTGCCAAATTTAAGGAAACTCCCTCAAGGTGTTTTTGAGATACTGTGTTCACGAGGATGGGACGGTCGGACAACCTGAAAACAAAACTGTGGCTGCAGCTGCCGCCGGTGCTGGCGCCGAAGCATAAAAACAAAAGGAACGATCTGAGTATCGACATTTAATGGTTGTTACCTGATTCATGAAATGAAGTCATGCATTAAGTGACATGTAAGAAAATGTTCCACCTTAAAAGATGCCGTTAACCTTTAAAGTCTTGTATTTCCTCTCAGTCTGTTTTTAACTAGAGATGAAACTTCCTTATTTATGATGCTTTTTATCCAAACACATCACTGATGTCACCGCACACTGTGTGGAGGTGGACGGCGCCCGACTCCACCTCAGCCGACTCGGCGCATTTAAACAGGTGACGGAAACACGAATGAGCGCAGCGCGGTTTGACTTGGCGAGGCGCCAACATAAAAGACTTTACTGTGTCAGTCTGCATTCTCAGTGACTCACCTCGACAGTTGAACTTTGATGTGTCGTAATGACGCTCTGCACATCTGTGGACAAACAGACAGACAGATGTTACACCAACCAGTGACAGAGTCCTCCAAACTGACCTGTGTCACAGCGAGACGAGATGTCTAAAGTAGCAGAAAGTGCAGATACTCGAGTAAAGTAAGAATACTTCAAACTGTACTAAAGTAAATGTAGTAACTTTCCAGCACCGAGGATGTCTGACCAAAAATAACTTAAACTATATAAAAATCAGACACTTACAGATTGTAGATCTTGTAGTGATTCTTGTGTTTTGAGTCCAAAAACCTGAGAGAGAGAGAGAGACAGACAGACAGTCAGACAGACAGACAGGAAGCAAAGGTGTGATTAAACAGACACAGATCAGCAGGAAGTAAACTGATGAACCACAACATGTGAGGCTGTCTCACCGCACGACGTCGTCGATGTTGTTCCTGTATACTCCCTCCAGACGCTCGGCGGGGAAACCCATCGCTATGATGTTCGGATAAATATCTGATCGATTGGTTAAAGATCAATTTTTATAACAGCTCTGAGAAACAATCTGATTTTAATCAGTCAGTGTTTCCGACATTTCCCAGCATGCAGCTGAAGAGCTGTGAGGATAACAGGGAGAATTTAACACTCAATCACATGATCACACCTCGTCCTTTCATGTCTGTACAGCAGCCTGTTAGCTTAGCTTAGCTTAGCATTGAGACAGGAAACAGAGACAGAGTGAGATGTCGCCTGATCAGGGGACAGAAGGACGCCAGCAACTCTTCCTTTTCCTCCTTTTCTTCATCTCTGATTCTTTGTTCCTTCAGCTCCTCTAGTCCACACGTCTCTCCTGTAAAACGCCATGATGTCATCATTTTACACACACACACACACACACACACACACAAACACGCACACACACACACACACTCTGCAGCCTCTCAGAACGACTTCACATGTTCACATAAAAATACTGACAAAACAACCTGCAGATACAGCAACACGACCATCAGACACAGCAACACGACCAGCAGATACAGCAACACGACCATCAGACACAGCAACATGACCAGCAGATACAGCAACATGACCAGCAGATACAGCAACATGACCACCAGATACAGCAACACGACCAACAGATGCAGCAACACGACCATCAGACACAGCAACATGACCAGCAGATTCAGCAACACGACCAGCAGATTCAGCAACACGACCAGCAGATACAGCAACACGACCAACAGATGAGGCAACTCAACCACCAGATACAGCAACACAATGGTTGTGTTGATGTAACCACCAGATACATCAACACAACCATCAGATACATCAACACAACCACCAGATACATCAACACAACCATCAGATACAGAAACACAACCCTCAGATACAGCAACTCAACCACCAGATACAGCAACACAACCACCAGATACAGCAACACAACCATCAGATACAGCAACACAACCATCAGATACAGCAACTCAACCACCAGATACAGCAACACAACCATCAGATACAGCAACACAACCATCAGATACAGCAACTCAACCACCAGATACAGCAACACAACCACCAGATACAGCAACACAACCATCAGATACAGCAACTCAACCACCAGATACAGCAACACAACCACCAGATACAGCAACACAACCATCAGATACAGCAACTCAACCACCAGATACAGCAACACAACCACCAGATACAGCAACACAACCATCAGATACAGCAACTCAACCACCAGATACAGCAACACAACCACCAGATACAGCAACACAACCATCAGATACAGCAACTCAACCACCAGATACAGCAACACAACCACCAGATACAGCAACACAACCATCAGATACAGCAACACAACCATCAGATACAGCAACTCAACCACCAGATACAGCAACACAACCACCAGATACAGCAACACGACCATCAGATACAGCAACACAACCATCAGATACAGCAACTCAACCACCAGATACAGCAACACAACCACCAGATACAGCAACACAACCATCAGATACAGCAACTCAACCACCAGATACAGCAACACAACCACCAGATACAGCAACACAACCATCAGATACAGCAACACAACCATCAGATACAGCAACTCAACCACCAGATACAGCAACACAACCACCAGATACAGCAACACAACCATCAGATACAGCAACTCAACCACCAGATACAGCAACACAACCACCAGATACAGCAACACAACCATCAGATACAGCAACACAACCATCAGATACAGCAACTCAACCACCAGATACAGCAACACAACCACCAGATACAGCAACACAACCATCAGATACAGCAACTCAACCACCAGATACAGCAACACAACCACCAGATACAGCAACACAACCATCAGATACAGCAACACAACCATCAGATACAGCAACTCAACCACCAGATACAGCAACACAACCACCAGATACAGCAACACAACCATCAGATACAGCAACTCAACCACCAGATACAGCAACACAACCACCAGATACAGCAACACAACCATCAGATACAGCAACTCAACCACCAGATACAGCAACACAACCACCAGATACAGCAACACAACCATCAGATACAGCAACACAACCATCAGATACAGCAACTCAACCACCAGATACAGCAACACAACCACCAGATACAGCAACACAACCATCAGATACAGCAACTCAACCACCAGATACAGCAACACAACCACCAGATACAGCAACACAACCATCAGATACAGCAACTCAACCACCAGATACAGCAACACAACCACCAGATACAGCAACACAACCACCAGATACAGCAACACAACCACCAGATACAGCAACACAACCACCAGATACAGCAACACAACCACCAGATACAGCAACACAACCACCAGATACAGCAACACAACCACCAGATACAGCAACACAACCACCAGATACAGCAACACAACCACCAGATACAGCAACACAACCACCAGATACAGCAACACAACCACCAGATACAGCAACACAACCACCAGATACAGCAACACAACCACCAGATACAGCAACACAACCACCAGATACAGCAACACAACCACCAGATACAGCAACACAACCACCAGATACAGCAACACAACCACCAGATACAGCAACACAACCACCAGATACAGCAACACAACCATCAGATACAGCAACTCAACCACCAGATACAGCAACACAACCACCAGATACAGCAACACAACCACCAGATACAGCAACACAACCATCAGATACAGCAACTCAACCACCAGATACAGCAACACAACCATCAGATACAGCAACACAACCGCCAGATACAGCAACACAACCACCAGATACAACAACACAACCATCAGATACAGCAACACAACCATCACATACAGCAACACGACTACCAGATACAGCAACACAACCATCAGATACAGCGACACAACCACCACATACAGCAACTCAACCAACAGATACAGCAACTCAACCATCAGATACAGCAACTCAAGCGACTCAACCATCAGATATAGCAACTCAACCACCAGATACAGCAACACAACCGCCACATACAGCAACACAACCATCAGATACAGCAACACAACCAGCAGATACAGCAACTCAACCACCAGATACAGCAACACAACCGCCACATACAGCAACACAACCATCAGATACAGCAACACAACCAGCAGATACAGCAACTCAACTGCCAGATACAGCAACACAACCATCAGATACAGCAACACAACCATCAGATACAGCAACTCAACCTGCAGATACAGCAACACAACCACCAGATACAGCAACACAACCATCAGATACAGCGACTCAACCGCCATATACAGCAACTCAACCAACAGATACAGCAACTCAACCAGCAGATACAGCAACACAACCACCAGATACAACAACTCAACCTGCAGATACAGCAACACAACCACCAGATACAGCAACACAACCACCAGATACAGCAACTCAACCTGCAGATACAGCAACACAACCACCAGATACAGCAACACAACCATCAGATACAGCAAACCAGTCTCTCAAGAAAACATCAGTTTCACATAAATCCATAAACACTACAACTATACAAAATACAGAAAAATATACCAATAACACAACTGATAATCTACCAATAATATACCAATAGTACAACTGATAATCGACCTGACAGTGTTTTGTGACTGTGGTTCCTGTTGTACAGACTGATTTGAGGTGACAGTCGTTGTATCTGTTGTATTTGTTTGGATGTTAAAATCATAGGTGTTCAAATCTTGTTCGTGTTGATGCAGCACACTGAACCAGTTGTGACCCAGATGTGTGAGGAGTCTCTGAGGAAGCTGCAAACACCAACCGGAAGTGATGTAAGACTACCTGCTGGGTTTTATTAAATCAGAGCCGACACATTTATCAACTCCAACCAGAACATAAAGAAATACCTCAGATACCACACGCGAATCTAAACTGTGGGGCAGCATAATTGATATATATGATATGATTCTTAAATGTGAGAATTTGACGCTTTTCTTTGTCATCAGTGATGATGACGTGACCTGTTTTATTTTATTGCCAAAACCAATAATCGATTGATCAAGAAAATAAAGGGCAGATTAATCAACGATGAAAATAATCGTTAGTTGCAGCTGTAATAATTACTGTTAATATAATAAAATCACTGTCTTAGTAATTACTATAATATTATTAGAACAGCAATTATTAAAGTGTGTCTCGGTGTGCTAACGTTAGCTCTCCGGACTGATGCAACGCCACTGACACCACTGTTAGCTTAGCCTGTTAGCATCTGCTCCCTCAAATAAAAACAAATCATAAAAACAACTCACGAGCGAATAAAACCGTTTTTCTGCCGAGCCGTAAAAGACTGGACCGGACATCCTGTTGAGAGATGATCCAAAAACATCTGGACCACATCATTAAAGACAGACTGGAGACAAACGTCTGCTAACGTCAGCTAGTCCCATTCAGTCCCATTCTCCTGCAGCCTGCGCTCCGAACTCCGTTTAAAAAACTGCCAATTTAAGGCAAACTGTCAAAATGTCAACATATATTCCCGTAAACCTGAGAGTATTCTACCAGCTGCTCCAAACAGCTGAAAATCAGACCAACATCACCCTGTAAGGAGCATTTTATGACACTAAAGGCATTTTTAGGATTAGTTAACGTGTAACAGTTTGCTGTGGGCGCTGCTGACATCGATTCAGACTCCAGATCCCGCAGCGCTGCACTGCTTCTTAAAGACGTGATTATTACACCGTAGTTTGGTTGTTTAACGGCTGCATGCACGCCGATATGATGAGCAGCTCTATCTGTCATAAAGTCGTGATTTATATGAGCAGCCTGTCGGCCGACACGGGCGGCGTCATTAAATTTCAATATATTTAAACGGAGTCCTGCACAGCGCAGCGGGCTAACGGAGAGCAGGTAAATGGCAGTAAAAGTGTCGAACAGTGAAAGGATACAGGTCAGGTCCAGGTCGAAGCCGTCCTCCTGGTAGCGTCTTTTATTTCTGCTCACAATCTCCTTGATTAAGGCAGCAGCCATGATCGGTGTCTCCGGTGAGGTCCGTAGAAACGATGAGAAGGTACTTGGAGACCGACCGTGCTCCTCCGTTCCCCGCTCCGGAGCCTCCGCTGTCTGGTTACCGGGGACAGAAGCTAACTGGGACAGCTAGCCTGAAGCTAGCTAGCCGCCAGCTCCCGGGTTTCCAGAAGGTCGCTGTTAAAATCCGTCAGTGCGGATGGATCCGTGTGATCGGTAATTAGAACCAAAATAAGTCCGGTGGGATGCAAACGATCCCGTTAACGGTGCTCCCCGGGAGCCTCCCTGTGAGCTCCGGAGAGGCCAGCAGCTAACCGGCCTTCTAGTTGACAGGCAGGCCGGCTGTCGGTGCTGTTTTCTGGGTCAGAACAAGGGGGCGTCGGGGCCTCCTCCCTGCTCCCGCTGCGGGCCCGGGCTGCCAGGTCCCCCGCCTGGAGACACAACCATCCGCGGCTGTATCCTCGGCTGAGCTCCAGACCTCCGGACGGCGGATGGATCCAGTTGGACTGTTCCCGGCCTCGGTGTGCAGCAGAGTCGCCGTGATTGGACGCGAATCGGCGGAGAGAAAATCTCTCCGATGCGGAGAAAGAGACAAGAGACAGACACGGAGACAAGGTAGAGACAAGAGACACATCCGCTCAGCGCCTTCAAAATAAGACTCTGATTGAAAGCTTTGATTTGGATAAACCCCCGAGGCTGCGGAAGAACATTATTTATTTAACTTATTTTTTTATTTTATAAAACAAAACTAATATTTCCACAGGTAGACTCACATCTGTGATAATAATAAATATGAATAAAAATTAACACAAATAACACACATAAACCATAAGACATTTTTTTTTACCACCGCTTTCTCCTAGCAAGTATTTTTAACTGATGGTTGTTTTTGTCTTGTCTCAGCCTGTAGATTTAACTGAATATTACTTACACTTTTTCTTTAATTTATTATTAATATTATTATTATTATTATTATTATTATTACTATTATTATTGTGTATAATAATAATGCTTGCTTTTACATAGAAAGCAAACAGTGGGCTAAAGTAAATCATAATTTAACATAAGTGTCTCAGTATTTTTAATCTTTTTTTTTTTTTTTTTTTTTTTTTTAGATATTTATTCAGTAATGAAAAACTTCTTTTTATTGTACTCCACTGTGGAGGGATTTGTCACAGCGACATGTCTGTATAAAGACAGTCGTGTTGATAAACAGAAATGATTCTGAACTCTGAAAGTCGATATTTCTGGATTTTGGGAGCAGGTTTTTTAACCTTTGGATTGTGTCACAGGTGCAGAGCAGGTGTTCTGTGGTTTCTGCGTTCATACTGAACATGTGACAGAATGTGTTGATCATTTTAATGTTGCAGCTCATTTTAATGACTTTAGAGTCATCTATAATAATACATCATCATTTATCATCATCATTAAAACAAATCTGTGTCAAAATATGAAAGTTTTATTTTATTTTTTATCTTTTTAATGTTTAGTTAAAATATTTTTTATGCCACAGCACAGAAAAATGGATATTTAAGTTGAAATCAGAAGCTCAGTATTTATTTATTTATCTTTGTGTTTTATTATTTTGTTCTATTCTGTTTGGTTTTATTTTCAGAGTAATGTAACTATCCAGGTACACGTTTCATTTTTGTAATTTTTTATCTATGGTTATTCGATCTTTCATTAATATTTATCTGTTTACTCAGACTGTAAATATTTATATGATAAAGATAGCCTATAAAAAAAGTACACTGGATGACGTATTGTGCTTTTATTCTGGAAAACCCGTCATATCCTGTTGTTGCGTCACTCCGCCTGACTTGACGATGCTAACTGTTAGCTGCTAGCTGGACTCCCAGAACCAAACGCATCCTGTCAGCACGCGGGGTTGCCAGGTTCCGGTCTGTTTATCCCCCCTTTACAATATCAATCACAGAAACGCCAAGGGAACATCAGAGAGGATCTTCAGTCACAACCTGGCAACCCGCAGAGTGTCGCTGACGTTACGTAACAAACCCTCCGGGCCCCGAGAGCCGCTGCACATCTGGACCGGTACACACGGTACAGTGTGTGACGTCTTATTATGTGTCACATATTTTATAGATTATTATTTGATATGATTTAATGTGTTTAACAGCTGAATACTCGAACAGAGTTTAAAACAGATCTGTAAATATTTATAAATCACTTCCTGTTCATAGAGACGTTAGTAGTTAGTCAGTAGCAGACGTTCAGACATGAAGTCCTCAGTTCAGATGGTTATGAGTTGTGTTACAGCGCCACCTGCTGGTGTGGACGTGTACCTTCATTAAACTATATTGTCTGAACTAAATGTGTTTGTTCATGTTTTTAATTAATTTAATTATAATTCTGGAATAATTCTATATTCACAGATCTTAAAATACACATTTCTAAACCTTTATTTAAATCAAACACTCTTAATATAATAATAAGTCATATAAATAATTAAAACAAATAGGATTTTAATTAGAAATTGAAGTAAAACAAAGATCAGTTGAACTCAAACCTCAGTTACTCAGGATGAGGATTAACAATCGTTTTTATTTTCTATTTTATTATATATATTTTTAATGTTATATTTATGTTATATATACATAAACAAATATATTTAGTCCAGACAATATATTTTAATTATAAAGTGTTTTGGGTTGAAATATTTTTTATGTCTCAGCACAGAAAAAAAAAAAGATATTTAAGTTGAAAACATATATGTTGTTTTTTCTTTATAAAGGTTTTTATATTTGTGTTAATGGTGTTCATATCAGAGGAGGGGAGCCAGCTCCTTTAATAGAAAATGTTATTTTATTATGTTACAAAATAATAATAATAATAATAATAATAATAGTAATAATAATTGTTATTGTTATTATTATATTAATTTATTAATATATGAACTATATTACTGTGATGATAAAATCCAACAGTACATTGACACGTTACTCCTCTCATCATCAGATTATTAATTATGTTTAGACTTTATTAATATATATTTTAATATTATATTATATTATATTATCTAGCATCATATAATCTTTTTAAATATATAATATATACAGGTGATTTATGTTGTTTATAGACAACATTAGACATTATTTTAATATTGTCCGCTCCGGCCCTAAAGGTGGCGCCACTGAGTCTCAGTCTGTTAACAGTTAAACACAGTAGAAGAAGAAAACAAACCAGCTACCTGCTCCAACACCACCGAAGAGCAAACCCAGGAAGTGTTTCAGCTGCGTGACGTGAATACCGGAGGTAAGCGCTCGTCACATTTTACCGGATAAACGGAGATTTTCTGTTTGTTTTCTCGTCACCGTTCTAACAGAGGAGTCGACGCTCCGCGGTTAGTTACCGGCAGTGCTATCTGCCGGTTTGTCCGGTGAGGAGCCGCTCTGTTCCCGCCGGGGGGGCGAGAAGGTCAAGCTAATGCTAAAGTTAGTAGCTAGCACGCAAAAGTCCTTTCGCTTTTAACACTGAAGGGTCCCAGACTGTGGTCCGGGGACCTGCAGGAGTTCAAGACCGGGTCCAGTAGTTTCCTGTGGGAAAAGTGAAAGTGAAGCTCATTGTCAGTTACAGAGCCGGTGTGTGTCGGAACCAGTCACCGACAGCAGCGTCCCGCCAGACTCGGATCAAAACTTCGGTAATTTACAGTTTGTTCTGTCGGTGTTTCAAAGACGAAACTACAAGATGATGGTGGACGTCAGAGATGATTCAGCAGGAGCTGCTCTTCAAATCGGCTCCGATCAAACATAAGTTTCTATCCAATCAGAGACGGTCCGAGACCAAAAGATCGGCTCACCAAACTCCGTTTAAAAATCTTTAATTTTACGATTTCCCTGCGTCTTATCATCAAGACAAAGCTGTCAGATCATAACTGGAGATCAGAAACTACTCACCAGGAGCTGCTTTTTAATTCGGCTTGTCTCCAAAAGTAAAAGTAGTTCACTTTATTAAACTGAAATTAAAACTGAAACAGACATTAACTTATTGATTATTCTTCAGTATCCAGTTTAATATTAATTAACTTTTCTATAACATTTGGTCAGAAACATGTTTATGAATTTATTTTGTGAAAAAAATGTTCCTTTGCTCTGATTCAAATCGTTAAATTGATGATTTTCTGACAATTTGTTTCAGTTTTATTGGAGACAGAAAACTTCAGTGTGTTGTGTTGTCGTTCCTCTGCAGCCCTGCGTGTACTTCCTGTGTACTTCCTGTGACCTCTGACCTTGACAATGGTGCTGAGAGAGGTCCCGGCTGAAAACATCGCCCGTCCTCTGGGCAGGAACGAGGTCATTGGCCTGCTCTTCCGCCTCACCATATTCGGAGCTGTCACCTACTTCACCATCAAGTGGATGGTGGACGCCATCGACCCCACCAGGAAGCAGAAGGTGGAGGCTCAGAAACAGGTGAGACGGGGCTTAAACAGCGGGGGCACGCTTTGAGGTGTTTTTTCTTGTTTGGTGGGTGTGTCAGAGCTGTGTCCAATCAGCAGCCACCGGTATATGAATAAATCTCCAGTATTGTATTTATAGTTTTTAAATATACTTCACACCTGTTCTGGTGATGTCAGCATTTGTATCTCATTCAAATAAAGCTTTTTAAATTGAATTAAACACCTCCACACTTAAAGCCACTTCACTTCTGTAACACAACAGTGTGTTTAACACACTACTGTTTTCTTTGAATAAACACTTTGCCAAGTTTTGTCGGGCTGAAGTGTAAAGGCACATGTAGCTCCGGTGGTGACTACCTCTTGAAGCTCATGGAGAGAATGCCAAGAGTGTGCAAAGCAGTAATCAGAGCAAAGGGTGGCTATTTTGAAGAAACTAGAATATAAAACATGTTTTCAGTTATTTCACCTTTTTTTGTTAAGTACATAACTCCACATGTGTTCATTCATAGTTTTGATGCCTTCAGTGAGAATCTACAATGTAAATAGTCATGAAAATAAAGAAAACGCATTGAATGAGAAGGTGTGTCCAAACTTTTGGCCTGTACTGTAGATGCTGCCCCTTGTTAAGTCAGTGAAAGCAGTCTGGCTTCATTTTATCAGCTTCAATCCTAATTATCGGAAAAATGCATATTCATAAAAATGTCCCGTTAGCAGCTGATAATCTATCAGACTGATGTGTATCATGCATCCCTGCTAGAGAGACAGGCAGACAGACAGATTTTCAGCGGAATTCTCTTAGAAGTGTTTTCCGGTCAGAGACGCAGATGTCTGTCCTGCTGACCAATAGGAAGAGAGCAGCATCTCCAGAACATCTGCTATTACACCAACCACAAAGTTCCAGGCTCTTCCTCAGCAGATGCAGTTTGCTCTGCTGTTAATTTCCATGTGCTGATGAAGATCATGTGATGACGACTGAGAGCTCCAGCAGCCACTGGATGGGCCTGTCTCAGTGACCTGTCTGTCTCACACCTGTCTTTGGTTTTGTCTCCCTCAGGCTGAGAAGCTGATGCGTCAGATCGGAGTTAAAAACGTGAAGTTGTCTGAATATGAGATGAGCATTGCCGCTCACCTGGTCGACCCGCTCAGCATGCAGGTACGTTCTGTTATTTACTGTCTGATGTGTGTCGTCTCCAGAAAAGCGGTTAA